AGCTAGGCGACGTAACAGTTAGTTTATGCCTACATAACTTAGTTAATGATACAAGTTTAAACGGGTAAAAAGGACATTATAATCCCCCAAATGAACGGTAAGTAAACGTGTGTTGAAGTGTGACAGCAGTTGCTAGTTAAAAAGTTAATTCAGATAGGGTTACATCAACATTATCTTTAACCTAGTCTATGTCTTTAGTGTTGTTAGTTACAATAAAGCTGATCGTTTGTTTGCACCGTCCTGTTCATGGCCTTTGTTTCCCCCCTTGCACTGATGTCCAATAAGCTCAAACAGACAACCTTACAGCAAAGTTGGTGGACAACCTTATAGAAGATGAAGCTGAGAGAGAGACTCTTCTTGCCAAACCCACCTGCTTCATCATAGTGGGGAGACCGGTAATTTCTCTCTTTTGCAGACTTAACACAACATGGTTTTCCAAGAGGTAGCTACAAACACATCCACATTGGTTGTTGTTGATGTTAACATAACTTTTCGATGACAGATCTTCCTCAGGTAAAGAATTTGAACACACATTGATAATGAAATCATCATTTTCCTATTTGTGTTTTTCTGCAAATATGATGGATGTATCTATTATATCAAAAAACACATGTTATAGTGTCATTAAAAGAAATATTAAACAGGTAATTTAATAACCAATCAAGTCCATACTGTAGGATCTAAGAATGTAGGTTAACGCTGAACATTGCTGGGTGTAGAAAGTTCAATGTTTCAGGTTTCACACACCACAAACATTGTGGAAAGTGCAGCCAGAAGCCCCCAACAAGTGAACTACTGCACACCCACAACACATTTTGTTCCTAATAACTTCCACGTCATATGACCCAGTGACTCAATCTCATTTTTGTGTCATTTTTTTGTGGCAGGGTGTTGGAAAATCCACCTTGGCCAAAATAATTGCAGAGTCCTGGAAATGTATCTTAATCGATGGTAAGTATAATTGTTGTATCTTCTTGTCCCAACATAATAGATGATATAATAAGATATTTCTCATCAGCTTTTATAATATTTCAGATACAGATCTGCTTAACACGCACATTAAAGATAAAACAGAGCAAGGCATAAAGGTGAGTATGTTTTTCTTTGTCAAAGGACAGAAAGGTTAACTGTCCCCTATATATATGTCATTTGTTTTCAAATATATATCTTTTGTGTGGTATGAATTGCTTTTTTTCTGACAATTTTAGCTCTTGAATGTCTTATCTGGTGGAGGAAGCATACCAGAAGACACGGTGCTGCAGCTGATTCTTGACAGACTTAACTCACCAGATGTTGAGCACTATGGTAAATTGTGTAGCTTATTTTATCAGCTTCGGCAGTGATTGTGTATGCAAGTTGCACAACAACCTGCCATTTAAAACACCACTCTGGGAGCTCTGCTACTGCTTGTAGTTGATAATACGTGTGCTGTAATGCAGGGTATGTTCTGAGCTGCCTGCCATTCTTGTCAGAAGAGTGTCTGAAGATTCATGAGCAGATTGAGCTGATCAAAAACCTCAAACTAACACCTGATTTCATCATCAACATCAAGGTTTGTTACCCACATGTCCATATCTAAAGTTGTTAAACAGTTAAAACTTAAACAACGGCAAAGATTTGTACATCTGAGGTTAGTTTGATGATGAATTTAACACTCACATCTTCCACCAGTGTGCAGACAAGGACCTGGTCCATAGGCTGTCAGGTCTGAAGCAGCACCCAGAGACAGGGCAGCTGTACAAGAGGGATCAGTGGCAGCGTAAGGAGGTGTTTAACAAGAAGAAGGAGAACAGCGATGAGGAAGCGGAGGATGAGGAGGAGCAGGTATGGCTCAAGAGGAAATACCTCCTGCTGGGTTTAACCTTTGATCGGTTTAACCTGTGAGTGGTGTTTGTGTAATTTGGTTTTGATTGTATTCCAATGATAAGTCCTGTATTGCCTCATTTCACTGTATTGTATTATTTGGACAAAGTAAAATTTTTACTGAAAAAACCTTTTCACAACTTTAAACCTTTAAAGGGAAAGCTGTCAAGCTATGATTTTCTATTATGCGAATCAAGCATTTTTTTTATTATAGCATACTTTTATTTTTTGCTCGCAGGCTGTGGAGGAGGAACTCCAAAAGGATTTTATTGACCAGATGGTGTGGACACCAGAGAACTTGCCCAGAAATGCCTTTTCTAGAATCAACATGTACAAGGATACCATGCTCAGACCACTGGAGGTGAGTTACCCAGGGCTCCAAAAATCCTCAAAGGCTTCCACGTTGATTCAAAAGTTTAATAAACATATCGCTGCCCACACATAATGCAGCTATAGGATGGACTAATCCTTTAAAATTAAGTCATCCATTTCTTACACAATATAAATCTTGATCTTTGTCTTTGGATTATGATAAGTTTCAGACAGCTCTGATGCAGCAATCATGGTTATTGTTCTTACAAGCCAGAGTGCTGAACCAATTTTAATTATCCTTTTCAGCTTTGTCAACTTTGTATCAGTGTTGTCATAGATGGCAGAGATGATGTGTTTGCGTAAAAGTTTGAACTTTATTCCACTTAGTCCACTGCTGGGAAGTAGCAGGGTCCCATTTCGGGGGTTAATGAATCGATTGAATGATCACTGACAAAAATAAAAAGACTGGTTACTTTATTTTAGAGCCAGTAATTTAAAAAAGTTAATTGATATTTTTTCAGGACTACATGACGGACCACAATCTCCTTTACCTGTTAGAGCTTGATGGAAACAACACACCTGAAGAGCTGCACTCGGTAAAGACACCAAGGATGAATGAAATACGTGCTACAGTATTACAAACAATATAATTAAGAATAACATTTTGCATCAATATATGTTATATCATATGTTGTTGAACTGGTTGTCCATGTTCAACTATCTCTGTATTCTGTGGCCTAACCTTAGTTTGTTGACTGTGTTGTCTCTAGTCTGTTATGTCCCGTCTTGGATCCATGGCAATAAAGCGTGTCTCCATTCCTGTCCTCCTTCCCCAGACTGATGAATGAAGAATTATCAGAAGATATTGACACGGTCTGTCATTAAAGACCATATACAGATTTGATTTCAAATCACAATTAGTTATGTGAATGCATAGAAAACACCAGTTTTTCAAACCTGCATTAGAGCTATAAACACACAGCTGATGCTGACACAAGAATAGGATTTTTAAACATACCCCCTCTACTGAATCTACTCCTAATTTAACTATAAGTAGTTTAATCTTGAGTCCATCTCTTTTCTAGGAGAACCTACTGAGGGTAATGTCTTCCACCAAGCCAGTTGCCCCTGGCTTTAGATGGAGAAGGAGCCGCTGGGGCCGAACTTGTCCTGTTGCTCTGAAAGAGGGCAAGGTCATTCCTGGCATTCCTGAATTAAGTGTGGGGTGAGTGATGGGACTTTTATAGATAGATAGATAGAT